GATATACATTTACATATATATAAATAATGGTTTTTTTCATAATTTTGCCATTTATTTTCCTATCACATGTGGTATTCAAGTATTCGGTATTTAGCCGAATAGTGTAAATGGTGCCAAATTTTTTAAATAACAGTTTAGTCGAATAGTGGTTGCAAGTCTAAGAATCAAACTTGAATAAATATGTAGCGCGTTAGTAACTATAATATTATTGTAATTACTGATAGTAATCACAATAATATAAACGATCTTAGGCGCTAAAAACCTGCCGAATAGTTGCCGAATATTCGGTATTCGGTCTCTGGAAAATGCCGAATATTCGGTATACGGCATTTTGCCGAATATACTATTCCTTGCAAGCTTAGTTAAAATATAAGATAATGCATATTTGATTCGAAACGAAAGTTGAGATTGATTTTACTGTTTTAGTTTAGTTAGTTTATCGATTTATAGTATAATTTATTGTATTTTTTTACTTTTGTTAAATATATATTTTGTAAATATACAGTAATGAGGTTAAATATGACCTTTTATAATTATTTTTCAATTTCAAGCACTAAAATTTTTAGTTCATCATATTATATGATTTGAATTTTTATTTCAATAATAACTTCGATTTTAAAATAATTATAGTCAAATTATATTCAATTTAAAGTCAAATAATTTTATTAACAGATTGAGTTAAAAAAACAAGTGCATTTATGAGAAAAAATATTAGCAAAATCTTTCTAATAATTTTTCATAATTACACGCAAATGCAAATCCATTTGCACTAGATTTCTTAAAAAACCCGTTTCAGCAGGATTTTTTATACTTCAATATTCAGTTTGCAGAATTTGATTTTTTGATTTTGTTTACATACATTTTTGCAAATGGGTTTCCAAATATTTTATTATTGTTTGAGTTTTTCGAAATCATATTGTTTTTATTTAGAAATGAAATTAATTTGATTTATTTTTGTATTCTACAGTTGGTTATAAATGTGCAGAAAAATACCTTTTTTATTTTGCTTGGTGACTGCCAAACCTAAAATTGAAACAAACAACTTTTAGAGTATTTACTGTATATGTGTAATTTATCATTACTCACAACTTACTGAATTTTTGGTTTTGAGTAAACAAATAATTTATACACAACTGAATTGTGATAACTCCATAATATAAAAAATGGAATTCAAAAATCAAATGTGTATATGCCAACCGATATTGGATTGTTGAAGATATTTATTCCAACTTGGCATATTTATTATTGCCAAGTATTAAATTACAGATGCGTTTGGCATATAGTCGTATTAATTTTAGAGATGAATTTGAGTCAAAATCTAAATGGTATGTTAAATACTTTTTTCATGTTATTGACCACTATGTCATAGATGACGTTTATTTATAGTTTTGAGTTGATGAGTTGCTGAGATTAAACTTTATAATGATGAACTAAATTTATTTTACCTTGATCTTGAACCCGCAAAAAATAACAAAGACATATACAGCGTAACAAAGATTCTTAACAACATAATTCGTATAGAACCGCCACACTATAATAAATCCGTTGTGCAATGCAAAAGATGCCAACAATTCGGTCACACTCAACGTTACTGCAATAAGCCGTTTACTTGTTCCCGTTGTGGTAACAATCATACTACATCAGACTGCAAGAAACCTGAAAATGTATTAAATTTTTGTACAAATTGCGACGGAGATCATGCAGCTAGTTATCGTGGATGCCCAGCATATAAGAAGGTATATAATCAAAAATTTCCAAAAATGAATCATAATACATCACAAACGTTTATAAACCAAAAATCCAACAACAGACATACGGTTAATCCAACTATTACCACTAACCTGTACCCGAATCTAAATCCAAATCAGATCGCTAATCAAGGTCACCCTCGAACATATGCACAGGCGTTAAATAACAACGTTAATCCAGAGTCTGCTTCAGGCATATCTGCAAGCTTCGCTCAGTTCATGCACGAATTCAAACAGATGTTTAATCAATTAATTCATCAAAATGGTGTGGTTTTAAACCTGCTAACAACTGTATTAAATAAAATTAATCCGTAATGGCTAAATTTATAGAATTGCACTTTGGAATGCCAATGGGCTCCTACAGCACAAGCTAGAATTAACTACTTTCCTCACTTTGAATCACATTGACATAATGCTAATAAGCGAGACCCACTTTACTAGTTTCTCTTTCTGCAAGATTCCGAATTACACACTACACTATTGCAATCACCCGGATGATACGGCTCATGGAGGATCAGCCATACTTATTCGAAATACAATAGTTCACACCGAACTTCCTCCGTACCAAAAAGAACACCTACAAGCAACAACAATACTTGTCAGTATGCATCTTTACAAATTATCAATCTCAGCAGTGTACTGCCCTCCACGACATAATATCAAGCAAACAGATTTTGAACAGTTTTTCCATCAATTGGGTGCGAAATTTCTTGTAGGTGGTGATTTTAACTGCAAGCACACTTCTTGGGGATCACGTCTGATCACAAGCAAGGGTAATGAGCTCCTGAGAACCTTAAATAATAATAATTATTCATTTCTGTCCACTGGAACCCCGACATATTGGCCTAGTGATCCTCAAAAAATACCAGACCTGCTTCACTTCTTTATTTTGAATAACATAAATGAGAACGTGATGAATATTAAGCCATCATACGATTTATCCTCAGATCACTCTCCAATTGTTTTAACTATAGGAATAACAGTTATACAAAAAATAAATTCAAATATATTACATAGCAAATATACAAATTGGGAAACATTTCGAGAAGTTTTGAAAGAGCGAACAAATTTACATATCAGTCTCAAAAGCGACGCTGAAATTGACAAGGCTACTGAAGATTTGCTTCAACACATTAAGACTTCAATTCAAGAAGCAACTCCTAAAACTCAAGCATCACCTGCATTCCAAGATATTCCGTTGGAAATCAAAGAACTTATTCGGAAAAAAAGACGTGCTAGAGCTAAATGGCAACAAAATCATAGACCTGGCGATAAAAATACATACAATAAACTTTGCAGAGAACTTAAAAGCAAACTTAGGCAAGTCAGAAATGAAAATTTTGAAAAGTACATTAATAATCTATCCAGATCAGATAACTCGATATGGAAAGCAGCTAGTAATGTGAAGAAGCCTAAATTCTTTTCTTCACCTATTAGAAACAGTGCTAATGATCCTTGGGCAAGAAGTGAAGAAGACAAAGCGCACCTATTTGCTAAATACTTGTCTAATGTTTTTAAACCATTTGATTCCACCATTGATAAAGAGATTGAAGAAGAATTGCTTAAACCTCTACAGTCTTCACAATCTTTCAAACCTATCAAACCCAAAGAAGTCAACTCTCAAATCCAGATGTTAAATACAAGAAAATCGCCTGGTTTTGACAAAATAACAGCAAGGGCGTTGAAAGAACTTCCTAAGAAAACGATTGTTTTAATAACTTATATATTTAATGCCATACTAAGAGTAGAGTATTGGCCAAAATCATTTAAGACTGCCCAAATATTAATGATTCCTAAAAAAGGGAAAAACTTGACTGAGGTATCTTCATATAGACCAATATCCTTGCTTCCCGTAATATCTAAACTGCTTGAAAGGATCCTTTTGGACCAAATCAACAACGAGCTTCCTTCAGATTGGATCCCCTATCATCAATTTGGCTTTAGACGTGAACATTCGACCACACAGCAAGTTCACAGGGTTATTGACACTGTACTCAAGTCATTTGAAAATAAGCAATTTTGTAGTGGTGTTTTCCTGGATGTTCGACAAGCATTCGATAAAGTTTGGCACCCAGGACTTTTATATAAAATTAAAACATACCTTCCATCCAGGTATTATGGGATTTTAAAATCCTATCTACAAGATAGGATTTTTCAAGTGAAAGTAAATCAAGTAACATCTGATTTTCACAAAATAATGTCAGGTGTTCCACAAGGTAGTATTTTTGGACCCTTCTTATATGTATTATACACAAAGGACCTCCCATTACTTGAAAATCTGACAATTGCTACATTCGCTGACGATATTGCCATACTAAGCAGTAATCACAGTGCTGATCAAGCTTCCCGACAAACGCAAGAACTTATCAATGAACTAGAAATGTGGCTTGCTAAATGGAAGATTTGCATAAATGAAACCAAATCAGTTCATATCACATTTACCCTGAGAGAGGGTACGTGTCCTCCAATTTATTTAAATAACGTCCAGATTCCGAAACAGAACATAGTGAAATATCTTGGTCTCCATTTAGATAGCAGACTTACTTGGAAAAGCCATATAAAAACAAAAAAGCAGCAAATAATGATCAAAATAAAAGAATTTGATTGGCTACTGCGTAAAAAGTCGAAGCTCTCTGTCGAAAATAAGTTGCTGCTATATAAATCGATTATTAAACCAATCTGGACCTACGGAATTGAGCTCTGGGGATGTGCTTACAAATCCAATATAGCTATAATGCAGAGAACTCAGTCAAAAATTTTACGTTTAATTCTTAATTCTCCGTGGTACGTGACAAATGAGACCATTCACAGCGACCTCAATATGAAAACGGTGCAATTAACGTTTAAAGAAGTTAAGGAAAAATATAAGCGCAAACTGGACTCACATTTGAATCCTTCTATAGTTGACGTTACTCAACCTTTTGGCATTAGGAGGTTGAAACGACAATGGCCCTTAGACTTAGTCTTAGATTAGGTCTAATATATCATACTAATTGTAAGACTGAGAAGTTCTCATTGGAGTTCTTCTTAGGCATCACTCATAAATATTGTCATTTTAGCTCATAGGAATCTTTATGTATTTCTGATTGCTAAATAAAACTGAGTTCAAAAAAAAAAAAAAAAAAAAAAAAAATAATGATGATGTTTTGCCTACAAAATGTGAAAGTTAAATTTAAGAAATATAATAATAATATGACAATATAATTAAGTTCAATATAATATTTATTAAATACATTATAAAAATCGGATACACAAAAAATTATTAATAATACGCTCTTTTTAAAATATAATGCTAGACCAAGCAGTACGAATCATGGAAAATAGTCTTGATAACAGCAGCTCAAGATGTTACATCTGCGCACAATCCATTCTTTTGATCCAGTTTGTTTCCATTTGTCTTGACCATATAAATGAAATATGTTAATATTTCCTTCTCTTTGATAGGTATTGACTTAAAATGCTTCATTATATGCTGCAAAAATTAAGATGATTGATGATATATATATATATATATATATATATATATATAATGATTTTTTTTACAAATTAATTGTCTGAAGCCTACACACATAATATATATTGAAAACATTTGCAGCCAATTCGACAAATTGCATATAATTATTTAAACATTACACGCTATATATATTGTTTGTTCAATGTGGAAAAATTTTCAAAATAATTGTATCCAAATCATCATAATTGATACTTGGCAGTAATAACTAAGCTAAGTGTCAAAATTAAGTTCTGAATAATGCGCAAAAATACTGTTTGTGATTGTCGTGAATGGAATATTTTCTAATTTCATTTTCAAGTAAAAATGAATATTATTGCTGATATTAGGTTAAATAAAGAAAATAATTGATACGCAAATAATAATTAAATATGGTTAAGTAGGTGTCCATCGTTCCCAAACACTGTGTTTTATAAAAACTATTAATAGTAGCTTACAGATATTAATATGACATCAAACTTATTTGCAGAAAATGATACAAACTTCAAAATATCTTGACTAACTACAATAATAAATTCAACTATTATTTACAGCAAACTCACATCTGCTAACTGGGCTTTATTTAATCCTGGCCTGGTAGAAACTTTGTAATATTTTTTGTACCTTCTTAATGTATTTACTTGTAATTGATATAAATCAACTTCAGGTAAATCTGTGTCAGTCTCATTACTATCATCTTCAGAATCCTTCCGTCTTCGTTTTGTTCTTGCACATTGTATTATCCCTTTATGGTAATCGCATATATAAATGTGCCTAGCCTATAAATTAAGTTCAAATGAACATCTATTATGGTACAGTTTGGCATTTCAAATTACTATCTCCTTTATAAACTAACCTGACTATCTATATTTAACTTCAACCGCCTTTGTGTAACTGTTTTCTGTATACGTTTGCTGTAAGAGGCATTACCCGCGGGTCTTTGACAATGTTCCGAATCATCCACTAAACAGCATATTTGATCTGTAGGGCCCCTAGAATCTTCCTCGCCAGTACTGAATCCGTTGTTCATTTTGCAATATATTGCTGATTTTCATTAAAACTTTACAACAATTAGAAAAATTATACGTATAAATACAGCTGTGTATGTGTAAATATTTATATATCACGTAACATAACTACATGGTTAGAAAAATCTCATCAAAAATATAGAAAAAATGAAATTACTTCACAAAAAATGCACACCGCATTTATAAAAAAACGAAGTAAATGGGAAACTAATTACTACATAGCACCATCACTTTCCTTCTGTTAAAAACTTCTTTTAAAATCGTAAATTACAATATTAAGAGCTTTATTCGAAGCTTCCATACACAAGACTCTATACCAGGCAACTGTCAACTTACTAACGCAACACCAAACCGCCTTGAAGTGTGCCGCGCTTATGCATGTCATAGTTTTTTTAGGAGTATCAACAGACAGTAGCGATGACAGGCGCTCATTATGCGGCTGCGCATGTATTTGTGTGTAAAAACGCTGTGAAGTTAGGTGTGTAAATATTCAAGTCTGTCGAACATTTTGAAATTTTATGAATCATGGGTATAGACACTATAGATAGCTTGCAACGTACTTTCTTATCACTTGAGTCGTAGCCGAGTGGTAAGGTGATAGAATTCTGATTTTTGCGTCTGTTGTTGGAGGTTCGATTCCCGCTCATATTGTTATTTTTTTTTTATTATTTTAATTTCATATTTATAATTGCATGAGTAAATAATATTAAAATTAATTGAAGTGTTTAATTAAAATTATATTTATCGCTAAATATCCGATAATAAAGTACCATGTAACGTCTGTATAAAATTGATGTAATGCTTATAATTATAATTAACTTTGTATATAATTATAATTAACTTTGTATATAATTATAATTAAATATGTTAACATATTTTATATTAAAATCAGCTATGATAAGAAAGAAAAAATATAAGTTATATGCATATAAAAATTAATTAATGGTTAATTAACAATTAAGGGATGATACTTATCGCAAAAAAAACAAATTATTCAAGTAATGTCCTTATATTATCAGTGATAGAAAATAAATTCTAAATATCATTACTAATGTTTTTATGAAAATAGATTTTCTTCTGTGAAAAAACACTGTCCAAAATAACTCAAAAGTTTTATTATATAATTAAAATTAAACAATTAGAATATTAGATTATTATATATAATTGTATATATATATATATATATATATATATATATCAACACATTTCAATAATGAAAATAATGAATATTTTAACCGCTGCATAATTTTTACATCTTACTGTTTAAATTTATGTTTATCTTTGTTGGTACACCTACGTTCTTAAAAATTTTAATGGCTGCCGCACAATGAGCGAGTTCACAAACGTCATCGCTACTGTCTATAGCCACGTGTAGTTTTTTTTGTATTTTGCAACTTTATAAAAATCGTTTTGATTTGTAAACTCCATTATATTTCTTTTACTGTATACCTAGGCACAAATAATATAGCTTAGGTAAATAATATGACATGCTTTTTCATACAAAGAAAAGTGTATTATTTTGTTTATGTGTAATCTGGTAATCCCGCAAACACAGATTTGCACAAATAATCGTACCGTGTGTGTTTAGCACTCATTAGTTAATATTGTTTCTTCTTTCTTTATCTGATTTGTCAGAAATTGGATGGTAATTTTAACCGCCTACCAATAGATAAAAGAAGAGTATACGCCTACCGTTTATTGTACAAAAATTAAAATTCACAATTGTTATTAAAGTTATAATATCTGAACCAATCTGAACAAGCAAACATGGATGAAATTTATCATATTATATACGTACCATTATAATATAACTTAAGAACATAAGAATCCATCAATTTTTTAAATCAATATTGTCAATAGATCAAAAAAGTGAGTCTCTTCAATATGTTAAAAATATTCTTAACTTATTGAAGTGGTAGTAATGTCATCAGTTGGAATATAAATGTTATTATAACGCATAATATATATTATTAGTTACTATTTATAAATTTAGCAGATGTTCGAATATATCATATGATATGAATATATCTAGGGTCGAATACGCGCTCTTTTTTAAAAGTGCTATTAATTTATATCCAGGCGCCATCTAGTTAATATTTTCCGAAGTATCAATTTCCTATAACAACTTCATTTCTGTTGTTTCGAATAGTGTTGCTGTCAATCTTTGTCGGGAGTGACTTTATATGTAGATAATTATTACTTACGTGTTTATTGGTTACACAAATATTGTACTGGGTGTTTGTTAAAATATAACCATTGTTTGTCGGTCTTTCGAACTGTATACGACGCTCCTGTTTTCGTTAGATTTCAATGCATTGCTAGCATTTTTGTGTGTTTCTGTAAATTATAATTAAGTAATATAAATCATATTTTTTATTTTGTGACATAACATTATAAATTACAAAAATAATTTCTTATGGCTGAAACAACAGTCGTTGTGGAACACAATATAATGTCAGCAGCAAAATCAAACATGATATCTGTAAGCGATAGCCCAGTCACGGATCCTGGTTCTGAAACTAAGGTTAGTTTACGAAATATTGCGGATTATTTGTTACCCTTGACAATTTTGACAGGTTCTCGTTATTATGTCAACATTTTGTGGGCTTTTAAATGTCACCGGTTTATCAAGTTGAAATTTGTAATTTTTGTACATTCGATCAACTCCGATATAATATATAAGTTCAATCAATAAAATGCATGAATTCTATACACTCGGTGTAAGCATGTGATGCTCAGACAGTTATGTCATTATTATGTTTAATAATAAGATGTCAAATAGGAATTTCAATATATTAATATAATTTTTAGCGTCCAAAACAAATTAGAATATAACTTACCCACTCCCACTCACTAAATTTAACTTAATTTTATTAATCATAAAAATTGCAATCGCAGGCAATTGAGAAATTGTTAGTATTGTCCATATATAATTGACGATTGTTTTTTAAATTTATTTTAATTAGATACATTAGTTTAGGTTCAAATAAAATTTTTCAGAACGTACACATAAAAGTGTTTTTTGCTTCCCTTTCTTTTGCAAAATATCACGCTTTGCTCCGATTTTGTAGCTTGTTTATTTTTACCATTTTGTTTAAATGGGTTAATTATTATCTTACATACAAAAAACATTCTTTTCATTATATTTGATATTGTGAATATATTAATATATTAGAATTATGTAATAAATGCATCATCTTATTAAATGATTCTAAAATCTGCGCTCTGGATAAAATATAACTTTTTGCCTTATATCTGGAATATGAAAGTGTAATTGAGCTATTTCTGCTTTTATATTTAAATATTCTTTTACTTTTAAATAAATCATTATATTTATTATATTTTATAGAATTGGTTAACTAATTAATAGTTGTGCAATAAAAAGTGTTTTATTAAAAATTATAAGAATTAATTTGAATAACTTCTTCATTTTCATATGTAATAGATTCATATATCTATGTGTGCGAGTGTATAAACGAAGAATAGTCCTCGTGCCACTTAAATTTTATCTGATTTCAATTACTTACAACAAGTGGTCATTTATTGCAATTAATACTCAAATACTAATTCAAGCATTATTTTTGTTTTATCAAACTAAATAAGTAAGACCTATTATTTAATACAAAGACCTAATTTTTAATGGATCTACCTGAAAGATCATATATTGAATCTTTTAATATGTGCGACATAATTGTTTTTTACGTCAGCATTCGAGCATTAAAATCGTGCTGTCTCCATAGTTCTTTTTTTTAAAGCTTCACCATCAGTTTAATAAAGATTTTTAATAGTGTGATCACCAAATGAATAATTATGATATTCATTTCAGCTTAACCAGTTTAATGAAGCTTTATTTATGTCTGATCACCAAACAAATAATTACGATATTTGCTTTAAGGGGCCACGGGTACTCAGACGCACGAAAAAATGAGAATTTTTAGTATATTTTTTTTGTTATTAAACTATGTTTTTTTATAAAAATAGTAATATGGCATTATTATGCAATGTTTTGACTTGAAGTACCAACAGAAAAAAAATTATTTCCAAATAGTTATAGCTGTTTTTGTTGACCCAGTTTAAAAAAACGGTTCTGGCGGTGATAGTCATAACTCTTTGGAGATTCATCTAAAATCAATCGAATAAAATAAATAGTTTTATAAATTGATAATCCTGGGACTGATTGAAGCTTTTCTTTTTTTTGCAAAAATTAACAAAATGGCGGCATCAGAAATTTTTTTCTCTAGATTTTTGGGAAAAAATCAACAGATAATTGGTCTTACAAAATTAAAATTTTTGGAAAAATAAAAAACCTTCGAACAGGCCCGAGTTTATTATGTATTCTAAAAGCTGTCTAAATTTCATTCAAATCTACTAAGCGGTTTTCGAGGTACAGTTGTCATCAGTTCAAAAAACAAGTTTTAGTTAACTAGTAATAGTAATAGCTTTGAGTAAAACGCGTTTAAAGTTTCACATTAGATTACTTAAACCGAATCATCTGGGCCATATAATAGTTTATCAGTCATTGTGGAAGTTTCCAAAATTTCCATTGGGTATTGCCTACGAAGCATTCTGGCCTCCCGAGTGTTCTCGTTGGCGCGCTGATTTCCCACTTTCACACATGAAGCATCCAATTTTTCAGCATATCAATGTGAATTATACCCACAATTAGGTCCTAGTGTATCCATAATCAATAATAATAATTATTTATATGTAGATAGTAGAACAAGTATTTACGGGTTTTGGGAATATTTTTCACACTAGTTGGTTGAAGCTCTCAATTTTTTTCTCATCATGATTCAATCTTGAACTACACATTTTGAAAGTAAATTATCATTGCTGAGATCGTCGTAAATGGCTTTAATAGCTTTTAAAACATCAGGAGGTAAGGGAGAATAATCTTCTTGAGTATAAGTATCGAGCATTCCACTTGCTTCAGCGCGCTGGTAAGAGTCCAATAACTCAAAAAGTAATCATCGGATCAACTTGAATTTTTCAGAGAATATTTTCAAGATATTACACTTAACGTAAATGCTAAAAACAAAAATTGATTTTTCAAAAATTACAAGTAACCCTAATCCCTTAATATCAAACTTATTTTCATATCGTATAGTTTAATTTTTCTAAAAAAATAACAATTTAGCGAGATTAACTTATTATTCTGATTAAAGGTTTATAGATGCTTCAAAACCATTTAAGAAGGGAAGAAAACTGCAATTCAAACTGCCAAATATCAAATTAAAAACTGAATATCGCTGTTGGTAATTTTTTAAAATTGGGTATGTAGCATGAAAGTTTGTTTAT